AATACTGTTTTTAAATCATCATGTCCTACAGGTAAATGCACTGGAAAGAAGGTTGATGATTGAAACTTCTAAATCTCAGCTTTCTACCCGCACAGTAAAGGCACTGATACGTCCATTGTGCAGTTTTATGGATAAATCTGAAAATGTTTACCCAGGGCTGGCTGCATGAGCGGCATGCACCATGTACAGTCACACCGAACCCCGTCAGCTAAGCAAGCACTTACTTCATGTGATGCTCTGCTCTTCTTTATTGAAATTCTTAATTTTTGAACAAGGACCTGCATTTTTAATTTCCCACTGGAGTCCACAAATTATGTAGATGGTCCTGTCTATATAAAATTCTTTTCATGATGCCTGTTACATATTAGGTGCAAAATAATTGTTGGAAGCTTCTCCCCATCCTATCCTTCAGTATAAAATTATGAAATCCAAGTTAGTAGGTTTTCTCTCACTTCTAAGGTACAATCTCTTGACACCAGTGGTGGTCCTATCTAAGAACCCTAACTGGGCAACCCTCTGGGGTCCCCTCCCACTGTGGGAGTTTTTTTGTCCTCTCAAAAAATCCTGCTTAAAAAAAAAAGAATCCCTACCACTTCCTCCTCCATCAAGACCCATATCTATTTGAGTAAAATGAACAATCACATGAATATTAAAAGTTTAAATTGTATGTATGTCTATATGTGTGTACGTGTGTGCAAAAATGGCCAACTATTTTTGTAAAAACTGATAACATTATCTCTGAGGCAGAGAACTAATATCAAGGGTTGGGCTCTGCAAAGGGACAGATTTTCCAATTCATTTTGTTCTTCTTGTTTTTGTTTTATTTTGTTGTTTTGTCCTATGTACGTTCTGCCCTTTAAAAAAAAGAAAAAGAAACGATTTTTTTTTAGATCTCAATAATTCTAACTCATACATTTCTGAATATACATTCACTCCTAACTTTTTAACTTGTCTCAAATTGTAAACCACAGTAAGGCATATCTTCCTCAAAATCCAACAAATTGTTTCAACTTCTAGAAGCATGAGTTCCATCCCAGACCCAAGATACTAACTGAGGTTAATAGAGATTTCCTCTACCATCACCCCTTATATTCCATAACTTACTCAGACGAGGAAAGGAGGAAAGTGGTGTCAGTGGAGATTCCACCCTACAGAATCTTCTGTCCCCTAGAAAGTATGTGCACTCACAGGCAACTTTCCTACCACTGGAAAATGAGAGGAAGTGAAGCAACCCATTAAAAACGTATGTTCTGACAATGTTTTGCTCTGGGGCTGCTAAGAAACATAGCATCATATAATAGCCTGTGAAGTGAGAAGTGGAATTCCTGTGAAATGAGATTTTTCTAAAGTATCTGATGAAGCAGTTCCACTCCTCTCCCAAACCCCCACCAAAGCACAGCGTGCATGACCTTGGGCAATGACAAACAATATAACACACCCCAATCAGCCTGGATAATTACCATGTTTAATAATTAAGCATGTGGTCTAAATTTGTGTTCAGCATTTCTGTTGAATTCTATGGGGCACCCAGGAGTGACTTGTGTACAAAGGTGAGGCTGACTAACCAATTCTCAAAATTCAAAAGAAAGAAATCTCCCACCTCTTTTTATTTAAAGAGTTCCAGTCCCCCACAACAGACCCAAGATATCTACTACTAATAAAAGGTAGAACAAAATCTCTCCAGTATTGTTCTAATCCACTCCTCTGGGGAAGTTGGGTATTTAACATGAACAAAAAATCAACAAACAAATAAGAAAACACATCCAAAAAATCTGGGAGTGGCTACTCACTTTGTTGTAGAAGGGTTTATAATTTCTGATTCTTCTTCAAAAAATGCTAGATAGGATATTTGACTCTTTTACTGCTCAGTCTCTTGTTGCTTCTCTGCTATGGTCTGTGAGGGACCACACAGTTCGCGAGCTCTAAAGAATAGCTGCAGGAGAGTTGAGAAGATTTTGTCCAAGAATGCACCAATGATAGTCAATAGGTGTTGGATAATGAAGATATTGGTCTCTCTTGCTTCTCCTACTTCCTCCCAGCTTAGTCCCAGCGCTTTTGCAATTCTGGTTTCCAAAAAATTCTTGTCCAGGGCATAAAGTATATCTGTTGTTGTACCTGGCATGCCCTGCAGTTAAACTGAGCTCCCTCAACATAATGATTTGTGTATCTGAGGTGATACCTGGCAGTATGGTACTATTTTGTGCTACACTTGGCTTGACATTTGCTTTTCCTTCCCGACAATGCCTGGATCATGAAAGGAGAATAGGTATTTGTTAAAGAAATAAATCAAGAGGGAGATTGATATCATTCCTTGATATCATTCCTCTTGTGCTAAGAGGTCCAAGGGTACTTTTAAACTCTAAATTCTACCTGTTTCAGCCTGTCCCTTATTAATGCCTATGAGAAAAGATTGTTAACATCTTTCTTAGCTTCTTCATAAAGAGATATATATTAATTGGTGTAAGCCATGGAGGAGGCCTAGTGTTAATGGTGAAGAACATGGACTCAAGAGCCAGATTATCTGGAGTAGTATCCCCACACACGTCCTACTTGCTATGGGACCTTGAACAAGTTACTAACCTTTCTGTGCTTCAGTTTCTTCATCTACAAAAGGACATAGTACAAGTTTTAGTATCATACAATTGTAACAAAGATAAAGTACTTAATATTTTAAAGTGCTTAGAATGATGCTAGAGCATAACAAGTGTCATATAAATGTTTACTAAATAAATAAAATGCTATTTCAGAGAAAGGGTAACACTAATTCATTGATGGTAAATAAATTTTAGCACAATAGTAAATTTATATTTATTGGCAGGAGATATATGAAACCATTTTAGGAAAGACTCCAAAGCCACATTTGGGTTCAGGTAAAGAGTAGAAACCTGGTGACTGATGGATGTCTGCCACGGACTCTGATGGGGGAAATGGAAAGACATATGTCCTGTTTCTGCTATCCTTGGTATGCATATGAGTTTTGCAACCTAACATGTTCCAAAGACCCAAGGAAATGAGTAACAAGACTAGAGAACTTGAATAAATATTTTTTGGGACTATTTGTGTGCCAGATTTCATTTAAAGTGCTAAAACACAAATGCTGAATAAGGTCACCACTGCTTTTGAGGTGTTTAGAGATTATTAGGAGACATGGACCTGCAAGTTCCAAGTAAAATACAGTGTGCAATGGTGGAGTATAAACATAGAGCTTTGAGAACACAAACTTTGAGAATACAGACAACTAATCTGGTACGGGAAAGAGACAGAAGAATCTGTGAGACAGTTTACTTCTCATATAAAAGATCTATTCCAATTACTCTCTTATTGTAAACAACTATAAAGATGAATAAAATATATGAAACAGAGTTTTCCGATATTGGACCACAATCAGCATTGGATTGTGATCTCAAAGAGAAGGAACACAAACAAGATGATTTTTGTAACTGTTCTAGTCTAATGCCTGGAGGCAGATATAGGTCAAAGCACAAAGAGGAGCAAGCCACAGCCTGGTGGTATTCGTCAGCAGAGGATATAGAGATTGGAGTGAAGAAAGGCCAAAGGAGCTAGAATTGTAGGACTAAGTATCAAAAAGAAGGGAGTGTCACAGAGAGAAAGCTAAGATCTGCCTAGGGCAAACTGAAGTGTATTGCTGAGTACTACCCTGCTCACAAATTGTAAAATATGTTCAAGGATTTTTTTAAAAAATGAACACAAGGAGGATAAAAACAGAAAATATGCACAAAGTACACAAATCAAAATTCTAGAGATAAAGAAAAATATGTGAACTAAAAATTACTCAGGATTGGTTTATAATACATCTTTAACTTAACAGAGTCTACTTTCAAATAATGTTATACCCCTTCACATATGGTTTAAGAATCTTCCAACAGCATACCTCTAATACTTTATCTGAGAGCATTATTATTATGTACTTACCTCCACATAGATGATAAATCCCATGATACATTGTTATTATTTACTTTTAACAATCACTTATATTTTAAATTAATTATCAAAATAAGAAAAGCCTTTTATATTTACACATTTATTTACTATTTGGGGCACTAATTATTGTTTATATTTACACACATCTTTATAATTTAGGGCACTGATTTTTTCTTTTTTTAGTAAGTCAATATAACCATTTAGCTTAATTTGCCCTATGCTTAAATAAGTTTTTAAAAAATATTTCCTTTAATGTTTTATTCAAGGAGCAATTATCTTGTATCTCCTTGGTTTTTAGGTCTTTATTTTTGCTGTCATTTTTTTTTTGTTCAAATCACCACCAATACATTTATTTGAGGGAGGGAGGGTCAAATCTTACCATGAACTCTTACACTGGGTAGAGCTAGAGACACTGGTCCGCCTAGTCTCTAGGTATGCACAATTGCACAGGCAACCAGATCCTGAATGTGTGGCACCACAATTAAACAGACAAGTGTTAGATGAGAGGACACATTCTGAGAAGTCACATGATTTCCCATTCATAGAAGGCGTTGCCCTCCTATCAGAAAAGTAGTGTTGAGAAAAGCGAAGGCAGAGCCCAGCACTAGCTTCCTAGCACAGGCTGAGGATCACGGCAGCCTTGATCACACCCTATTTACAAAGCAGAATGATGTTCCCAGGGGAGTGGGGCTGATGAGGGGAGGGGTCTGGGATCCCACCCCAGTAGCCTTTCCCCAGCCAGCCTGGACCTGCAGAAGCCATTTTCTGGCCCTCTGAAGGCAGAGTCAGCACATCTGGGAGGTGCAGACATTCTGGCCAATTCCTCACCCCGCCCCACCTTCCCCAGGTCTGACAGGTGACCCAGTCCACTGGGCGTGCCTCTACCCCCACCTGCCCCACATTTGGACAGACACATGGTGAATATGGAAATTGAAGCCAGCTGGGCTGGGGCACATCTAGTTGTCGTTGGGTTGGAGTCACCTTGCAGGCATCCTGAGACAACCAGGCTTTGCCCACAGTGGCCAGGTTGAGACAGTGTGTTTTTATGATAATTCAGGTTACTCCAGGACAAAACATGATCCTGATGACACCCGGAGGAAAAGCAGGCTGGAGCCTCAGAAGAGCTGGCCCTGTATACTCAGGTACTTCCAGCAGTGAATCCAGGATTTCAACACTGGGGAGTAAATGGGGAGCCCTGCCTGCTGCCTGCAGTTGTTCACAGTCATGAGGTCACCGACCAGCAGGAAGGGGTAGGTCAGCATGCTCACTGTGATCCCCATCACAAACTTGGTGTAGCTCCAGATGGCCAGGGCCTGGATAAACTGGGAACCTGGATTCTGGTCATTTCCCAGTCCCCCTGGGGTGTCACTCATGCTGTCATCCACCAGGTAGGCATTGATGAAGTGGGCCAGCAGGTTACAGCCCCACAAGATAACCACATCACCCAGGAGGTGAGGGATTAAGCCAACAAAGAATCCCAGCAGCCCATCCTCTTTAAATATCTTTCCAATGAAGCTCAGCACACTGCTGTACTTGCCCTCCCAGCACATAAACTGGACCATGCAGCGCATTGAGATGACATGCAGGGCGTGGGCCAACATACAGGATACATACTGTATCATCATCTCATAGGAGGTCTCTTTCACGACTTTCTTCAGAGAAGTCTTCATATCATTCTTGCTGGAAACCTGCTCAATCTCATCTGGAGGCAACACCTTCTTCATGCTGCCCTGGGTCCCAGTGGAGAGGGTGCTGGACATCAGTCAGAGGCTCAGGCCTTGGAACAGCCCTATCTTACCATCCACTTGCACAATGTACTTGGCATAGGTGAAGAAGCTTGGCAGGTAGAGGACCTTCCTCTCTAGCACATTGGTCCCAAGGGTGGGGGGCATCAGCTCATGACCCACCTGGATGAGCAGCTTCATGTAGTGTGGTGGGTGACTGAGTGCCATCACGCCTGCACCCAGTGTCACAAAAAGCACCTCAATGGTCGGGGCATTGTCCCCGGAGCTCAGGCCTCCAACCCGCCATCTATCCTGCAGGCCGAGGGCTGTGCCGCAGGCTGAGGGTGGTGCAGATGGACACGGTGTGCGGGTGGTGGATCGTGAACACGGGCCTTGACCCCAGCCGCTGTGCCGCCGCGAGCTCCAGCTCCAGCTCCAACTCCTGCCATCCTTGTGGCACCACTGTGAGCGTGAGCCCTTGCTGTCATCTTTAAGAGGTATTTTGACCAGGTATAAAATTCTAAGTTGACAGATTTGATCCCCAGCACTTTAAAGATGTCCTTCCATTGTCTAATGAAATGCATAGTCTCTCGTAAGGCATATGTTGTCTCACTTTTCTTTGTTTTTCTGTACAAAATGTATCTTTTACTTCTGACTGCTTTTCAAATTATCACTTCATCACGTTTTCAAAAAATTTAATTATGATGTATTCTGTTGTTATTTTTCTTATGTTTTGTATGCTTAGGATCCACCAAACTTCTTGTATCTGTAGATTTTTTTTGTTTTATAAGTTGAAATTTTTTTCAAAAATTTTCTCTACTCCCTACATCCCCACTCTCACATTTTCCAGGCTTTCTTGGTCTTTTTTCTCTGTGTGTTTACTTTTAATAGTTTCTGTTGCTATTCCTTTGAAGTCTTGGATCGTTTTTATCTTATGGTGTCTAATTTGTTCAGTAATTGATAGAACAATGAAAACAAATGAGAGTATAAAGTACTTGAATAAGACTTTAATTTTTGTTTTTAATTAAAATTTGTAAAACACATCATTCAATAGCAGAAAACACATTGTTTTAAAATGCAGATAAAACATTTCAAAGGTAGACCACATTCTGGACCAAAACACAAAACTCAGTAAAGTTTAAAAGATTAAAATCATACAAAGCATGTCATATGACCATATCAAAAGTAAAAACCAATAATACATATTTCTGAAAAATTCTTAAACATTAAAAAGCTTTTAACCTCCTTCAAAATAGAAAAATATTTCTAACTAAATGAAAATAAAAACACAACATATCAAAACCTGTGGCAGTAGGTGTTTATAGTGAAATTTATTGCATTCAATTTTCTGTTAGAAACTAGAAAAATCTCTAAATTCAATTATTTAATTTTATACATAAAGGAATTAGGAAAAGAAGGACAACTGAAAACCCAAAGAGAGAAGAAGAAAATAAATAAAAAAGGTAAGAATAAAAGGCAATAATATGGAAAACAAAAAACTGTATGGAAAAAATCAGTAACATAAGATGCTGGGGTGTTTTTTTTTTAAAGAAAAATCAATAAAACTGATAAATATTCAATGAACAATAAGATAAAAATGATCAATATAACTGCAAGAGAGAACAGTGTTCCAGTTTCTACATCCAAAAATAAGAGAATATCATAAACAATTTACATCAATACATTTGAAAACTTAGATGAAATGAACAAATTTCTGGAAGATACAAACAGCCAGAGCTCATTAAAAAGGAAACACATACATCAAATAGCTCTATATCTATTTATTATTTTGGCCTTCAAGATTTGATAAAAAAAATAAATAAATTTATGGTTAAAATCTTGCCACAAAGGAAATTCCATGTCCAGATAACTTCATGGATGAATTTTACCCAACATGTTATAAAGCAATAAAGAAATTTTACAGAAACTCTTCTGGAAGATAGAGGTAGGAACAGTTTCCAACCCATATTATAAGCCAGCACTGCCTTGATACCAGAATGAGATGAAGATATTACACAAAAAGTAAGCTCTAGGCCAAAATTTCAACAAACATAGTGGCAAAATTTCATAATACTTTCTAAAAAATGGAATTCATCAATAAATAAAAAATCAAAATAACATTGAGGTTTATCTGAGGAATCAAAAGTTTGATTAACATTAAAAATAAACTTTATTCACTATAATAATAGACTATCAAAATAATAAATACATGTTCATTTTAATAAATGCAGCAAAAAAATTTACACAATTCAATATCCATTTGTAATAAAACACTCAGTAAACTAGGAACAGAGGTGAACTTCCTCAATCTGAAAAAGAGCATTTATGAAAATCTTGTACCAAATGTCACACTTTTAAAAGGTTGAAAACTTTCCCCTTTAGTTTGGGAACAAGGTAAGACTGCTCTCACCACTTGTATTCAACATTGTACTGGAGGGCCTTGTCAGTGTAATAAAGCAAGAAAGAGAAAATAAAGACTTCAAATTGGAAACTAAGAAGTAAAACTATCTTTCCTTATAGACAGTATGATTGTATTTGTACAAGATCATAATGACGCTTTTAAAAAGAACCTACAAAGAAGCTAGGAGAACAAATAAATTAGTTTAGCAAGCTAATTTAAAATAAATATCAATGTAAAAATTTAATTCTCAATGTAAAAATGTAATCCTCAACACAGAATTGGAAAATGAAGTGAAGAAAAATCTACAGTAATGTCAAAATCATAAAATACTTAAGGATAAACTTACAAAGCATAAACAAAAACTTTTACCTACAAATTGCAAAGCATTGGTGTGAGAAGTTAAAAAAAAATCTAAACAAATTAAGAAATGTATCATGTTTATGAATCAGAAAACTCAACAATATTAAGATGTTAATTTTTCCCAAATTGATTTAAAGTCCAATACAATCTCAATCAAAATCCTAATAGGTTTTTTTTTGTTGAAACTGACAAGCTAATTCTAAAATGTATATAGGAATGCATAGAACCTAAACTAACCTCCAAAATTTTAAAAGTAAGAATAAAGTTGCAGGCCTTACACTACTTTATTGCATAGATTCTTTTAAGACAGTGTAGCTTTGGTATAATTTAGACATGTAGATCTGTATTAAAGAAGAGAAAGTTCAGTAATAAACCTACATATATATGGCTAATATATATGGCTAATTCTTTCTGGCAAGGGTGATGATCTAATTCAAAGAGAAAAGGATAATTTTCTTCAACAAATGATTCTGGAACGATTAGATACCGATATGATAGCCAGCCTACAAGGCATCCCCCAATAAGCACTGCTCCTTGATATTCAAGTCTTTTTGTAATACTCTCCCATTGAAATTAAGCTGGTTTATGTGACCAATAGAATATGGCAGAAGTGAGAGAATATGACTTCTAAGCAGAAGTGACCCCCATAGTATGGAAATCAGATCATTTTGCTCTACTGTTCAAAATATCTGAATTACTTACTCCCTGTCTCATGTAATAAATTCAAAGTCTTTGCTAGGCTTAATAATATCTTAGATGAACACCTCTCTGATTTTCTCATCCACTTTTGTCTCCCTTTCTGTGATGGTGCTTTAATTTCACTCTTCCTTGAAACTGCTTTGACCTTGAAATTAGCATGGTTACATATTTACCATTTTTACCATTGACTCTGGTCTCAGATTCTAATAAATCTCATTTTAATCATGAGTTCATACTAACTACTTGTCTAAAATAATCCAGCCCCCTACAACTCAAAACACTCTATTCCTTACTCTGCTTATCTTTGAAGCACTTATCACGGAGTGACATATGGTATATTTGCATATTTGCTTGTTTATTGCCTGATACCTCCCCTCTCCACTTGATACACTAGAATGTAAGATCCATGAAAGCAGTGGCTTTGTTCTATTCATATACATCCTGAATCCTGAATCCTGGAAAAACACTTGACATGTGGTACATGCTTATTAAACAAGTTGAATGAAAAAATCAACTGCTGTACTTTATCAGACTGGGAAAACAGGAACACGAGAAATTAAAATGAGGCCACGTTTTAAAATAGGAGAAATTCAAAAGGAAAAAATGTGGGCAAAAAAATAGGAGTTCATTACAAAAATCATACCAGCTCCAAAGTGTCCAAAAACTTACAGTCTAGATCTGCTAGTGAGAGGGAATTGACAAAATATTCCAGGGGTTAAGGCAAGATGGAAAGTCTAGACCCATCCAAGAAGCTCAGCTTGCAGGTATGAGGCTCTGTTGAGAAGAACTCCCCAAAACAAGAAATAAAATAAAATAGTCCAGGAACAGCTCTCCTGCTGGAATAATAATAACTCTGAAGTTGACTAATTTCTAGATTATTATGAGAAGTAGGTGAATCATGTGAAAGGGAAAGTAAACTTAAGTGAAATGAGAATTTGGGGACAGATTATGTTCTAATATTGACAAATATATTTTAAAAATAGAACCTTAAAATCCAGGATTCAAGAAGTCATCCTCAGGTCTGCTTTCTTTACCACCTTTCTTCCTGAAGCTCCAGCTATTTCTTCTGTGCTGATTTTTCTACCATTGTGAAGGTCAGAGGCACCACAGAGATACCTTAAGTTTAAGTGGAAGCAGCTGTATCCATTTTTCTCTCTTCCCTTTCACTAGGGAACCCTCTAGGCTTCCCCCTGGCACCTGAATACCCAAATGTAGAATACAACATCTTGCCTCTACCTGTCCCCACATTGATGCTAGGGCTGGCTTGTGAATGATTTCAGCCCAGTGGGATCCAAGTGGAATTGATCTGTTTAAATCCTTGGTCATTTTCTGGGGCACACTTGTCATGGACTATCTCCTTCCTGCTGTCTGGAGCACAGAAATGCCAACAGGCCAGCCTGGATGCCTAGATGTCTTTGTGGAAGAAAACCCTGTGACCTACCCCAGTCTGTTTAACAAGAGCAAAATGAACTTTCTCCTTAAGTCTCTTTATTACAGCTACATAGTTGGTGCCCTAAATACTTCAATGGCACAATGATCTGTAGGAAAAGGTATAGAATCTGGAGTCAGATAATTGCAAGTTCACAGCCCAGACCTACTATTCACCCGGCTTGTGTTCCCAAATCTTGTTTCCTTGAGGTATAAAAGTAATAATAAAACTTGCCTTGCAAAGAGTTACATGTTTACAACTTTAGAAGTGTGGAGTGTCTGATCCCTTGCCATTCCCTCAGGGAAGTGATATGCCTATTATTAATTGTATTGGCCATATGCTGATGCCTACCAGAAGTGACAGAACTTAGCAAGTCAGGAAAAAAAAAGGGACAAAGGAGAGAGGCAGCAAGGTCCTTGGGTCCACTTGCCCATGCCCCCCTTTCTTAGTTCTTGGGGAGTAGCACTCACCACCAAGCACGTCATGAGAGAAGGTAAAGACGTCCTCCTAGGCCAGGATGGGAGGTCTTCACAGCTTCCCTGGGCCTTCTCCAGCATTCT